CAACCTCCCTGGGGTCGCAACTTATTATGTATAGCAGTTGAAAAGGCACGTAAGGGTCCTATACATGCTTCACGGCTCTTCCCCCTCCCATGGATGAAGTTAGAGGTCTAGCTAGTGGTCGGGCTCTAGATTTGTACATGTACAGAACGACACAAGATATATATAATACAGGAAAAAACCACTATGCTCCTATCCTGATTTAACTATATTCATACTAGTTCCAGCTACGCAGGTCCTATTTCCAAACCGAAAATATGGTAAAGTGATGACACCTCCTATGCTACCTTCTAAACGCAGATGAATGAGCCATGGCATGGCATTACTATAGCCTGGCTTTTGAAACCATCATAGAACTAAATACAGTCATGAGAATATCATATGGGGGATATAGATTGAAGACTCACTGGGCTCGAAATGGTAGCTAGTAATGTTGAAGACCCAACTGTCACGCTGGGGATCAAGCAACGTACAACTTGTAGACAGGGGGTGACATAAACAAATGCTTAACCCTTCCCACATACTGGGAGAGGAGAGCGGGCTTTGTATACAGTGAGTTAGGTCCGTACTGGGGGCGAACCCTCTAGTAGGGTGGCTGCTGCCATGGTACCAAGTCCCTCCATACTTTACTACCATAGAAAATAGTTAACAACGTGATGAGATGTAAATGTTGAGGACTAAGGAGTTAAGCACGGGGATTCCAAGATACAAGGGTTTTCAGCAAGCTAAGAGCTCAGATTATTATATATCTCTACTTCTAGTTCTTTGCGCAACGATAACAATAACAATAACAATAACAACAGCTATTATGACTACTACTACTACTGCCACTACATATTCTCACCATCGTGATAGTTTACTTTTTTTTTATTAAGTTATAAACGTTCTTTGCGAATACCCTAAAAAGATAGTTAATGGCCTCGATACCAACGGTATTCTAATATGTTGAAATACAAAAACGCGACCCCCCATCCTAACCCATATATAGCATCACGATACAAGACTACTAGAGTCTTCTTCCATCTATTTCACACATTTGAAACTCTCATATGCCCTCCAAACCGCAGAACACCAATCCAACGCTTCTTTGAATCTCAAAAAATGATATGAGCCTACAGTCCCGGGGGTGCATACATTTGTTCTTGATTTGTTTCATTATTGAACCAGAAATCCTTTAGCATGCAAAGAGCGTTCCGAACTCGACCACAGAGGAAGGTCGAAAATGACACACACGGAAGCAGAAAGGTAGCCACCATAACTGGGCCGGATAGGCTGTCTTGACCTCCAAATTCGATGCTACTGCCTGTAATAAAGGCACTGCTGATTATTATGTCAAGAGCCAGCCCTATGAAAATGGCTGATAGCACGTTGCTAGCAAACTGTTAGCTAGAATCCGGTATAAGCATAGCAATTGACTTACATTTCTCTCCTAATTGGGCTCAAGTTGAGCGTATCATAGTAAGACCATACAATCGTATATACGGCACACATTGTCCATACGCTAGGATATGTTAGCACCAAGAATTAGAATGCAGTTCACGATGCTATCTCGCTAGGCAGAAAATAAGGAAGCGAAAAGGGTCACTTACTGAAACAAGGTGTGGAAAGGCAAGTGACCAACAAACGCCATTAGGAGAAAGCCTCCGGCATATAACCCCATGGCTAATCCGTAGAAGAAGAGAGGCTCCCCAAGCAAGTAAACTGCTCCAAAAGTGCTGAGAGTCAAGGTTCCTAATAAAGGATGCCACGCAAGTGCAGAGGACCACTCCGACTCAACGATATGCTTAGCACTTGATCCGCTCCCTCCAACGTCAATGCTATTTGGACTTGCGTACGCCGTTGGGAGGATGTCGAGAACCATTACCCATGTAGCATACGAGAGCACTTTAGTTAAATACCAAAGCCATCTGCTGTATCCCGTACACCCACGGTAGCTTTTAATGAAAGTGATACCCGTCTTTTCTGGCCTGGCTTGCGCGTGTTCGCCAACATATGCGTCTGATATTGGAACTGCAAATCGTCCAAAACCGAGTAGCTGGTGTGTAGGAGTTCTCATCATTGTCAATGCACTCCGGAAAGATCTACACCCTTCGTGAGCATGGAATTTGAAAGGGGTCATGAGAGGAGCCCTATGGGAAACTCCTCTCCAGGATTTCCTCTGGCGTTCGAGAAAAAGAAAGCGCTCTAAAGACTCGTGGTTGCTCAAGAGCGCGTCGTAATCCGACATTTCTCCAAATTCAGAAGTCCCAAAATATGGCCACTGAATGGACTCGTTTTCGATCCTGCTTTAATGACAGAATTATTATCCTGCATCTCCCCAAATAATCATAAGATTTTGATGACTTACACTCGCTCTGACGCCAAGGGAAGACGGTAATATGTCCACTTGGTGTGATGGTGCAAATGCAACAATGCGCAAGCCCGAGATAGAACTGCTAGGCGGCGATGCAGACGTTCAATCGTTGGTATTATATCGCTTGTTTTCGAATACCGATGGAGAAACTCTGAAGGCCATATCTCGATATCCCAAATACCATCTTCAATGGCCATCCTAGGTCAAAATTAATAACTTGCCTTCGCTTCATGTTAATGACATACCTATATCTTCCCAAATCCCTTAAGCACCCCATCCATGTTTCTTCCAGGGCCGGTACTGTTTCATATAATAGGGCCATCATAGAGTAGGCCATGTATATGAAGCATTGTATGTCTTCGGATGAACCTAGGTGTTGACGTAGTGATTTCAGGAAAGAATGCATTCCATGCCTCCACATTCGAGCTGGCATGGCAGCATACTTTGAAGCTTGGCGTCGCAGAGCCTGACTTGCCGATGGGTGTTGAGAGGCTAAAAAGAAGTCGTGATGTTCGTGAAGTAATGTTCGATGCAAACCAATCAGCGCTTGCCATTGCTCTTGATTGAGGTTTGCGCCTGGTTGTGGTAGTTGTGCATTATCAGCCTCGATACACTTGGATTCGACTATCACAAGACCAGCGTAAATCCCCTTGACTTCGGCAACTAATTGTTCTTGACTTATAGGACGAGTCTGGGGTTGTTGAAGTTGATTGACAAGCCCGGGGCACCCATTATCTGGATTCGAAAGCCTGTCAGGTGTCTTGCGAGTATTATTGATGTCACGATCATTTGTGTGTAGACGTTCAGGAGGTGTTGGAGGGTGGGAGACGGAACGACATCGAGCTAGGGCAGGTGAAACCATCGTCTGCCTGCGAGGACTACGTTTCCTCAATTCGACACCGCGGGTAAGGGTCCTAGACAGGAATTAGCAGGCTGTTCATATTTGGGCGGAATCCAAAAACAAATAAAAAAAGGCCCCTAGAGAGCTGGATTAAGTAGTATAGTATGAACGTCAGCACTTACAAGTTCCCTGCTTTCAGTAGTTTAGGATATGACCTTTAGATGTATGGTGATTCCGCAAGGTTGAGTATATCGAAGGTCAAGCGGGGGGGCAGATGGAATTTAAAATGGATATCACCTATGACAGAGAACATAGACATCATGGAGTTTATAAATCTCGAGAAGGAGAAGCGCGCATGATGGTTTGACCAGTAATAATGCGAATAAACGACCCCTACCTAAGATGAGGCTGTGCAGTGTTCAAGCCTACATAGGACTTTACCCCACTCCGAGGTTCTGCTGGCATGTTTATATGGTGAAACACACATTGTATAAATCGCCCTATTGATCACGATAGAAAAGGCCGACAGAATCACATCTATTCGTATAGAGACCCAGGGTCAGGGGGAGAAATATGAATTCTTCCACATCGCTTAACAAATTTGACCGACTTCGGGCATGGAGAATTTATCGATTCTTTAGAGCAACACATGTTAAGAACTCCTCTTCCTACCAATCGAGACGCCAAAGGTTGCTGAGACGTCATCTGTTAACCTGGTGCTCAGCGGTGGTTTCATTATCAGCAGCTGCAGTTCTTGGGCATCACATAATAAAACTCAGTCTACTGAACTACCAGAACGGGTTGAAATCACTACATTCCACTTGGAATAAGAACCAAGAAGTATGAGAAAACCAATGTAGCCATAACAGATACAACTGGTACTGATTATATCCTAGGTGCTACAGATGTACTTTTTGAATACCCCTACATCGATAACCACAGGATCCCCGCCCATAACCCAAGTATTCGTGATACTACATACATATTGCCTATCGTCTTTGGTGCTCCATCGAAGCAGAAGGGAAGACAACCGACAGAACCAAATCCTCACTACGTCGATTTGCGCTTGTGTTGGCGCTAGTTTCTACATTGCCTCCGAGAACACATGGGAGGATTTTGGGGCCCTAGTATTGCTGACATTGCCATTAGCAATATCGTTTGCTCTGGTGATCAGTGCAATGTTCCATAGCGTAGCTGTGTGGCTCAAAGGGGTGCAGGGTGACGATGATATTCCTCGAAATTTGGGTGAAAAGCAAGACGTCTTCGATGATCCAAGGTCGGGCCTTAGGGAGTTATATGGTTGCAAGAGTCCATGTGATTAAGGAGACAGATAGAAGGAAGAGTTTTGTTCAGACTCAGAGCGGCGTTTTGGATTTTAGGGTACGCGGTAGCATGTAAGCATGTGCACCTAAAGGGGAGGGAGAAGGATGTGTTTTCAGCTATACCTTTCAACAGATCGCAAGCACTTACACTCTCCAGCCCTTTTTTCTACTGCGGGCTGCAGCGAAAGGATTCATTCTGATTGAAGGTTTTCGCTGGACCCCACAGTAGAAAAAAAGGGGCTGGAGAGGATGTATAATTCGAGCCCCTCGCACTATAATATCATGACTACCTAAGTTCTTATCCATTTCTTCGTGAAAGATATAGTTATGAATACCTATGGACAGCGAAGCACAACGTTACGTCAAGGGCGGATAGGGACCAACTTGGGACGATATTGAACATAGGTTAGTTGGAGATTGAAAAGAATGGCTTTTTTGTAAGCTTGATGATATGAATTTTGCACAGACAATTTCAATCAACTAGCTTGGTCGGTTAGCTCAGCTGGTTAGAGCGTCGTACTAATACAATACATGTTGTATCAAGTAATGCGAAGGTCATGAGTTCGATCCTCATACTGACCATCTTCTTTTTTTCCTTCCCTTTTTCCTCCCCCCCCCCCCCCCTGCTTTTCTGCTCCTCGTCTCTCTTTTTTCGTTCCTAAGAGAAAGGATTTGAAAGGAGAAAAACGTTGATAAGTGCTTATTTGCTTTCTAACCTTGATATTTTAAGTACGAAAACCATCTACCTATCAATAACGTAGGATAAAAACAAAGAAGAACAGTTACTGTCTGAGAATGGCTACGAATAATTGCCCCCTTTTTGCTGATCATTGAAAAAGTCATTCCTATCAGCCCTGTTTGCCGCACGTTTCCTTTCGTCCTCTCTTTTAATGCTCGCTACGTAGCTCTGGAACTTGTTGCTAATGTGAAGGACCTCCTCAAAATGCCTTTGGCCCACGAGAACCGTGGTCTTCTCAGGATCTATATCAGGATCTTTCTCGTGATCCACTTCAGCCAATGTGATGGCGGTTTGAAGAGCGTTGCGGATGTCTCGACCGTTCAACTGGGTCTCACCCGATTTCGCCCTGTCCAATACCCATTTCTTAGCTTCTGGGGTAACCTGGATCTTGCCTGCCCTTTCTTTAACCAGCTTGCGGAAGAAACCTGACCAAATTTGTACTCTAGCATCGGAAGTAAGAGGACGATATTCAATGGCCGCATGAACCCGGGATATAAAAACATCATCGATCTGGCCTACGCGGTTTGTAGTGAGAAACAGTAAGCCCTTGAAGTATTCCATGCGTCTGAGGAAAGCTAGATACTATTAGCTCTACGATGATTTGGCAGGGTGCTTGCATTATACCTGATACTAAAGCATTTCTTGCAAGATCCCTATTCTGTCTCCGCTCTAGGAAGATGTCTGCTTCATCAACCAAAAGTACAGCGTTCCAGACTTCTGCCAGGCCGAACCATCTCATCAACTCTCGGTCAATCTCAGTCTCGACTATCCCGATATCGGCAACTGTAAGAGATAACAATGGGCGATTCAGGAGTTCAGCAATCGCCTCGACGTTATATGTTTTCCCAACACCAGGGGGCCTAGAATCCGAGGTTAACTAGGTATTGTACCGAAACGATATGGAACAGAAACAAAGTAATATGCAACATGGCCTAGATACGATGAACCGAAACATGTCCTTGTTGAACCAAGAGCTGAAAGACTTAAAGATAGCAATCTATGGTAGTCTCAAAACGAGAAATGAACTACCACCTTTGATACGTTCATCATCACCTCGAAGACTTCTAATGAGTGATACACAAGAGCGGTTCTCGCGTGACGGGGAAATTTCAACATCGGATGTCCGAGGCAATATCGACAGGGGCTCAGAAGGCGGACCACTTACCTCTGCCTATCGTTTTTGTCGCCAAGAGGTCTTGAATCTCCTGAATCCTATTGCCGCAAAGTTTAACTAGGATATACAAAATCTCGTCGAGCTCACTTCAAGAGCTTCACAAGTTAAAATCGACAATGAAGTAAAAAGACGTCTTGACGCTTGGACGGCCAGCTCGCATCCAGACTCACTCTGGATTCAAGGCCCTCACGGTACCGCGTGCCCAAGTCAAGATATGCTGACTGCCACATGCCTGGTGGCACTCTCTAGCAACCACAATATTCCATTTGTGGCGTATTTCTGTTCCCTCAGAGATGATCCCTCATCAGATTTCTGGCGCCTATCTTGCCAACAAATGCTGATAGACTTGATACAGTCTTTCATTGTGCAGCATCTATTAATCTTGCCTGAGACCACTATAGCAACAGTTGATCTGTCTCTTGAGCGTTTTGAGAAACTATTGGATCCCGAACTAGAATTCGATGATGCTCTTCAACTACTTCATGATATACGGACGCTAGCGCCACCCTACTTGCATTACATTATAGAAGGTGCTCAGGGGCTAGAGGATCGAAGTGATAATATTCATATGCGAAACCTCTTACTGTTTTCCCAAGAGATCATGCAAGTGCCTAGGACACCTTCTCCCGACGACTCTATGAGCGCGTCTAGTGGAAGAAACAATCAACCATCGAAAGAGAAGCCGGAAATAATCACTAAAGTGTGCGTTACGACTGATGGCTACGTTGATATACTTGCTGAACTAGTCGAAATTGGGCGCATCGAGAAGGTAGAGTACGAAGATGAGGCAGAGGAGTACCACGCCGGGGAAGCTACTGATATGATGCCTATGGGGGAGGATGAGGGTGGGTGGTGATGTTTCATGATATATAATCTCACATAGTTCGTGTGAATATGGTTTCGCGGAAGAAACTATTTATAAGAGATCTGAAGCCTCCTTATGTAATTAGACGTTTTCTAACCCCCCTCCCATAATAGTATTCACTCATATCAGCCCTAGGTTTATTTTCTCGCTGCACAGAACCCCCTGGTTGCATAGCTTTGCTGATCAATAATATTGAATTGGGGTTATGAGGTTGCTTAAATAGGTGAACATCTATCTCTGGATGATGGGAGGACCTGTCCCTTATATACATGTAGCTGCGGATATACCTTGTGTCTATATCTTGATAGATACTCCTTATTACTTATTTCAGCAGCATGGATGTTTACAATAGAACAAAAGGGGTGCTAGTTCCCATGTTGATATGGACATGTCAAACATGTTCACAAGGAAGCCATTCTGTATCACTTATATTATGTAGTGAGCTATAGCAAGAATATTCCCTTCGTGTGTGCGCGGTTAAGCGTGCCGTAGTACTACGTGAAAAGGGAAGCTCCACCAGTCTACATTGTCATCAGGTGGACTGATCATCACGAAAACCTTTTCCACGATACGTAAGTAAATGCCATAAAACGACACTATAGTTGAAAAAGTCGACGAACAAATTAACAACCACGATAGTGAAGTAGCAGTAGTACGTAGACAACTGAACTTTGTTAGTAATGTGTGCGGGATAACTTTGACCCTAATCACCCCTGAGTTTTTTGATATGTTCATATATGATATATCTACACCATGATCTACTTTGTCTTACGGTATTACAGACACAGAATGCTCTATCAACTCAATTGGCTTTTCTACTTATAGGTCACTCCATATTAAACATTATCAACCCTTACAAACGAGATGCCTTCCCACATCATCTGGCCCGAAAAGTATCTTCCCGGCACCACTGACAACTATGTGTCGAACGAAGTCATCGTCAAAGGCATCACTGCGAACCAAGTATGGCCATACCTAGCGAATATTACCAAGTGGGAGTCATATTACCACAACGTTAGTCAGATCACCCCGCCAAGCTCCAGCCCCGTACTCGAGAAGGGTGATAAGTTCAGCTTCTCGACGTTTGGATTTCCCCCACTACAATCGGAGGTCTACGAATCTGTGGCACCCACATCAAGTACTCCCGGGAGACTCACCTGGCGCGCATGGCAAGACGGTGACGAGGATACGTTTTTGGATGTGTATCATGCGTGGCTAGTGGAAGATTTGGATTGGAGTGTTGTGCGGATCCTGACGCAGGAATCCCAGATCGGGAAACCGGCTGCCCAGCTATCTACTACGAGGCCTAACCCAATGCTCAATGGTCACCAGGACTGGCTGGATGGTTTAGTAAAGACCACGAAGGACAGCTTGGCTTAGACAGGAATGCATCCTACCGCTCGTCTTTAATATCACCTGGAAGGATACCTTGCGGTACGCGGATAGCTTAACAAATTATCATCTATTGTACAGAATCGCAAATATATCCATTTGAAATGTATCGCACGTAAACCACTATCCGGTGGAAAAGCATCAGCATTGTCGCTAGAGTAAACTTCTTTTACCAATATGCTACGTCCTTAAATACCTATTTAATTTCTCCAACAATGGAACATTACACTGTTTTCCATTCTAAATCTACTCAAGTGTTTCTCAGTCCCCGCCCCCTATTTCGACGTGGTAGCCTCCTTCTCCGCTTTCGCCTTTGCTAACGCCTCAGCCACGGGGTTAGGATTAACATATAGTCGGTAGCTCTTTATCAACCCCTGATCGTCAAACTCTACGATCTCGAGCTCCTTCAGCTGGACGGTGACGCCCTGTATCAGCAGCGAATTGTCCATCTCGGCCACCACAGTGCGGTCACCGTCCGTAGCGCGCATGCGCACCCGCCGCTCCTCTAGGTGCCAGTACGTGGTCAGCCTCCGCATCTCGTCAATGGCGCCCTGGGGCCCGATAGCTGGAGGCGTGTTTATGCCGTGGAAGTAGAGGCTCGCATCCGGCGCGATGTACGAAGCCATGGCCTGGTAGTCAGCGTCGGGTGAGTCCGGGCGCAGAGCCCGGACTGCGACCCAGTAGGCCTCAAGTTTGGCGTGGAGCTGGTCGGTAGTGAGGGAAGATGCCATATTGTATTCTCCAGGTAAAAAGATATATGACTTCTAGTGGTGTGCTTTTATGTGTTGTAGGCAGGAGAACAGAATCGTACAGTAGAGCACCTGAAAGGTAGAGAACATAGTGCTGGGCAGAATTAGTAAGGCTAAACAACGATATTTATATCGTTGACTCCATGTTTCTCTGCTTATGCTCCTCGTAGACCTTCCACAAGCCACAACCTGTGTCTTAATTCCGGCTTCACATTAAAGCCGTTATGTGCGTCGTACCTGAGCACACTATGTGGAATCAGCATTAGGCCCACAGATGTTTTCATGCAGATCAAATAACCCGGATGAGGGACACGGGATAGTTGATTTCAAAGACGATGGATTGCCTGCATATTAAATAAAATATAAATTAATATGCATTCAACACGAAACACAAGTGTAGTCACTAAAGCATGTAGATAAATCATGAGCAATATATTATCAATAGCACACTCTCTTTGTGAATGAGGAGTAGCTCTCGAAAAATAATTTTGTCTAACTTCATGTCGCCTTCTGCTTTTTCTCATTGCGTACTCCTTAACCAACTTGGATCGGAGATGTCAGGATAATCCGTTTATAATAGCATAGGTGGGTTATCGAACATACTGATCTATTGTCTAATAAGAGCCCAGTGGTACTTGCGAGGCTTGTAAACAACAAATAGGG